CTGGCAATTATGGCGACGTCTCCGAGGGCGACGAGTCGTCGGATGCGGGTCATGTTCATCCTTCGTCATCGAGCCTGAGCACCGACCATGGACATGTCAGCGACGTCTCCGAGAGCAGCAACGATTCAACCCATGGTAACATGCAGTCCTTGATTCCAGGCCCGGTTCATCGCAGTGAACCCCTTTCGGCGTTTCTCTCGTGGGACATGCCTCCCGAGAACTCTGAGAACATGGAGGAGGATGGAGAGACTGAGCTTGAGGAGGCTGAAGATGAGCCTGACTACGACAGTCACGACTCGGATATGCCCGACGCCGGTAAGGACGATGGAGACTACGTTTCGGAGCCTACCTGGCCCCCCACTGGTGTTGAGTGGACCTCCAAGCTCAAGTACATGACTGGAATCCCCCGTCGCAACTATCAATGATTGGAACGGAAAGGTATCTGATCCAAAGGGCTTTTATTGACGGAAGGAACTGAATTTGCTTGGAGATGAAGGGGGTGATGATGAAGTGATGGCATTGGGAAGGCAGTGGAAATAACGCCAGAATGGCATAGGCGTCTTGTATGTGTACCTAAGCTGTCACCTATGTTGATCAACCAGAAAAATGTTACAAATCGCGAGCCGATGTAGTGATATCATGTCTCATTGCCCTGTGTGCACTCTTTCGGTAGAGGAGCCAGGTGTACGTACATACGTGGAAGTGGAAATGCCGTTATGCCCCAACTGAATTACCCATCCGAAATTCAAAACTCATCAAATCGCTCAAAACAACCCGCTAAACCCAGTGCGCCTCATGATGGAATTAGTTCCGCATCGGCGGAGCTGGGTATTGTCGCCCCCCAACGCCAGAGATGACCGGGCTTCCCCCGCGCTCTCTCCATCGCTTTCTATCTCTATCATCTCTCAGTTCCCGATCGCGGGGATCCCGAGGATCCCATGGAGGCTCAGGCCTTCCTCGCATGCGGTCCACATCCGCATGGCTACTCGTTCGGCGTGTCGCTTCAGGCCGCACGACCGGCCGTTCCCTTCGCTTACGAGCCTCCATATCTTCTTCTCTCTCCCAGTTCACGACGCGGTCACGGTCACGCTCGCGTTCTGGGTCTCTGTCACGGTCTCTTTCTCTTTCTCTTTCGCGTCTACGGTCTCGCTCTCGACCGCGATCTCTCTCTCTAGCTCTCTCCCTTTCCCGTTGCTCTCTTTCTTCTAGTTCCCTACGTTCTCGGGCTTTGAATCGGCGGCGGCGTTCTTCTTCCGAGTCTGAAGCTTCCGAGTCCTCCGATGCAATATCGGGCCAACTGCGGTTGAGCCTAGATGAAGGCAAGTGCTCTCGGCTTCGGCGAGATGGTGGATCGCTTCGACGACCGGAGGTGCTTCGATGTCTTTCTGGTGATCGTCCAGTGGGAAGAATGGACGCCACTTTCTCGCTGATTTTTTCCCTGATGCCATCTACGACTGGAATACTACGACGCCTTGCATCCTCTGGTCTTAATTCCGCACGATGTACACGAGTGACAGGTGGCGGCTGGGGTACCGAGGGAGCGCCCATACGACGGAAACCGGGTGGTGGCGGCTCGTTTGAATGATGTGTATGAGGGCGACGTTTAGATCGCGGACTCGCCGCGTCCTCGGAATCAGACGTTGAGGACGAAGAATAGTGTCGAGGCTGGCTGTGTCGGCGGGGTTGCATGGGCGGTCGATTGGGATGCAAGTGCTCAGGGTTGGCGTGCGGATCCTGTGGAGGAGACGGGTAGTCGGAAAAGCTACGGCGTCGACGGTCGTCAGGAGAGTTCTGTCCTCGGAATCGATCTTGGTCTGGGGTCCTCTGGGGAATATTGAGGCGAGATGGGGGGTACCGATTCGCGGCGTGACCCCCAGGAACATGGCTGTAAGCAACTGGTGGTCGGCCTGGCGGAACGAAGTAGTCTGCCTGAGGACCACGAGGCGGAGGTGAGGGCTTCGGTGATCCCTTGGGCGGGTAGGGATTTCGGACGTGCACGTATGCTGCCTTCACTCTCGGCTCGTCTCTTTCTGCTGGGCGAGCAGGGGCAGTCTTTGGTGATGCCGGCTCCTCGTCTGGCACTGCTGCCTTCCTCAGTTTTTCAGCGCATTTCTTGTGCCATTTCTCGATTCCGGCGTCTGGCTCGCTGGGCAGAGCATCTGCGGGTAGATCTGGGGGGAAGGGTTCGCCCGTCTCGGGATGCTTCAGGTTCCAGCTCTTGACGGCCTGCTGGATGAAAGGTACGTGTTCCTCGGGGCTCAGCAGTATCTCGATCGACTCCCATCGAACGAAGCCACGAAGGGTCAAGGCTGGGACAGAAGGGGCGTCGAAGTCGTTGTCGGAGGGCTGCATGGAGTGCTGGCAGCCGGTGACCTGCCAAATGTAGGATATGGCGGGAAATGGCATATCGACAAATAGGGCTATGGCGACGAGCCGTCAGCATGGAGTGCCTTGCACAGGTTGAGCATTCAGGCTTACAGTCATAGTTACCACCAACGGCCTTATAGAAGGCGGCCAGCTTTTGGGGGGTCAAGGCTTGAACATGTCTATCGCCAATATCGCGAATCTATAGATAGGCGGGGTTCAGTTAGTATTTGGCCATGGGTGGGTGGAAGCGAGGTGGAGGAAGCCAGGGTTTGTCGCAGACGTACAATGTGTTGGGCGATAGCGCGAAGGAGAGCATCGAGAATCGGTGTTGGAGCCTTGTCTGGGCCGAAGAGATAACCATAAGGGGAGGATGGCTTTGGATCGGGGTTCTGAGCCTGTGTCTGGGCCTGCGGTTGAGGTTGCGGCTGAGGTTGAGGATGAGGATGAGCAGAGGACTCTTTGGAGTCGGCCTCTGCGGTCGCCGTCGCCATTCGGGGCCGAAGTCTACATCAACGGTGCGTTTTTGTGGGCAGGAATGTCCGGGACAAAAGTGTGGAGATTGGACGGGATGGAGAAATATAACGGTTTTGGTGGCGTGTGCTGCTGACAAGCAAAGGGCTTTGGCTTCGCAGGCAGTGACTGGAGCGAGCTGGCGTTTGGATTATGAACGACTTGGAGCGCAAGTTATCGTCCAGTTCGGTTGATATTGAAAGGCTCGAGAAGAGTTCAGGCTGCTAGCGTAAGACTGCGAGCGCGGGCAAGGTTGAGTTGAGGGTTCAACGGCTACTAATAACTCAAGGTACTTTGGGTGCGGGCCGCCGCCACAGCATCGTCATACGAGAGAGTGTGAAAGAGAGAGATGCGAGGCAGAAGTAGGCTGAAGCCAAGCCGTGAGTCAAAGCCGGATGGATACGTGCGGATGCAAGTCGAGGCTGGTAGGCGCAGGATGAGGACTCGGTCAATATGCGCGCCAGAGGAGCGAGAGGGTGCGCGCGAGTGCAGCCGGTGGCAGGAGAGAAATATCCGGGTCGAGGACTAGTGGGTGTGAAGCGTGGATGAAGGGGATGAATGTGTGTAAGAAACACAATCCAAGGTCGAGCGAGAGTCGAAAGCGACGACGGGAGAGTGCGGTGCAGCTGGTTGATGGAGGATCGGGCGGGCAGTGAGCTGATGATGTAACTAAAGTACTCGGACTGCAACATGAGGTGGGCAGGGTACTTGGGCCTTGTTGTTGCTGGGGGGGTTGGAGGGGTCAAAGACGCACGCACGATGGGACGGATGGGCATTTTTTGGGGGGTTCAAGGTCGCCGCCGCTCTGGGGCTCTACATAGGTAGGTACATTGTTTTTGTGGTGAGATGGACGGGGGACCAGGGGGAAGGAAGGAAGGGACTCGAGGGAGGAAGTACATACCTTACCAACTTACCTTGCCTACCCTTGGACATGGACTTTCCATCCCGTCAGGCAGAACCGAGCTGCGGGAAGCAATGGATCCGCCTGGTTGTTTTTACCTTACGTAGCTGGGCTCTTGCACAGCTTCCGCTCAATAACTAAGTCTGCGCCGTACTGCGGTACATGCAGCAGCGCTGCGCAAGACCGGGAAGGACAAGGCAGGCAAGGCAGTGGCAGGTAAGAATAGCGATCAAACAGGGAAAACGTTTGGCTGTTGGGCTGACACGTGCACCCTGGCGCAGCTTCCCTTGCGGGGACAAATTTGGGCCGGACCGTCGGCTGCCTTTCGAAAAGTACATGTCTTACCTACGTGGTTGAGCTGTGTCTGCAAGTACCTTTCCCCTCCCACCTGGCTTCCGCGCATCTCTAACCGTCGGGTACGTACCGCCTTAGGGTGCCTTCTTCCTGTAACTTCCATTTCTCACGATGTACCTTTTTTCCCCATGACAATCTCACCTCTTCACGACCGCTAGTTGGGAACATCACCGCTCCACCCCCTCTGACTTGCATAGGCACACATTCCTGACGAGCTACCTTACCTCACACACACACACACACACATTCTCTCTTACCAGTCACCACCACCATCCCACGGCATCTCGATGCATCCATACTCTGTCGTCGTTTCGGGTTCAACTCCCGAGGTTACGCCTAATATCTCGACCATCGCGTCCCCGACTCCCCACCAGCTGATCAACATGATTTGGCATCCATACTCCTGACTTTACCTTCCAGGCTCCAGAAGATAAGGCAAAGTGAGGCTGGGCAGCAAAACGGACCCAACTACCTATCCAGATGATCCAGATGACCAAAGAGGCCCGTCGAAAGCGATGGATGCCGATGCCCAGTTCCCTCGGCCCCCAGGATGCAGCCTGAAAGTCTGCCCAGGTGAGCCGTCTGCTGGACATGCCCAGCTGCGATGTGCCTTGTTGCGGAGGCTGGTGCCCGCTCAGCCGCCAGCCGGCCCTAGCCACGCAACCCTCTATTCCAGAGGCAACCCGACAGGCTGTCCCGTCTGTTCTTGAACTCTTCATACGCAAATCAAGAGAGTTAAAGGCCAAAGGGAACCAGCAGACGCTGAAGAGGAACTGCCCAGCCACACGCCATTAAGCTGGTCGAATTCTGCTCCATCTCATCTCTTTCCCCGGCCCTCCACCACACGACTTCTGAGAAGCTACTTTTCCTAGACTCTAGACTCACTAACCTCCAAGACAGCGTCACCATGTCCACCTACGCCGCGACCAATTTGCTTCCCCGACAGGCTGGAACCCGGCGAGCGCATTTGCAAAACACCAGAGATGCGGTTCGACAATCCACCCAATCTTTTCGTTACCCTCGCCCTATCTTCCAGACTTCCAGAAACGCTGCTAGCAACCGGAAAGTGATCCGCGGCCGTGCATTGTACATCCTTACGAATACATGGCATGGTGTCTTTACCCTGGCTTACCGTGGTGACTCTGCGTGTCCATCTAATTCTAATTGTTGCAGCAGCCATGTATGATGCAGTTGCAGCCAAGGTTTTGGGACAGTGATCTGGCGGTGAGCACAAGGCGAAAGATTACGAACAAGGCATGCAGGGACCGGCTGTTGTACATTGCGTCGACCAAGTGCCATTTCTACTACATCCTGACACTGCAGCAACCAACGGGAATGGGTTGACCACCTGTTGTTGCACTGGCTGCCTACCATCTGCCTGGTCGGCACACCTCGAGCACTATCTTTATCTTACATGAACCTGTCGCCGTTCCGTCGCCTCGGTTCCCTGTCTATACAGAAACGATTGATATGTCTTGGATAGAATCAAACCCTTCCTCGCTCATTGGAAAGCAGTATACCACAGACCGATAGCGGCGCCCGCAAGGGAAATGATGCTTCTCACGGCGTTGAGTGCCTGCCACCTCTTCAACAAATCCGTGGTCTCGGACAGACCCAGCGTTGCGATGCCCCGTGCACCGGCCATGAGCGCATTGTTCGTTGACGACATGAAGATAATGGTATAGGGCACGATGGCGAGACTCAAAGCTCCAGCGGCAACAAACGGCTTCCACGCAACACCCTGGTCGTAGCGATCGTATGCAGAGTAGGCCAGCGAGAGCGTAACGGCGAGCGCTACTTTTGGGCCGGTCGACGCGCCGTTCAGAAATATGTGTTGCCACAGCTTCAGTGCATGACCTGGCTCGGCGCTGGTTTGGAGAATGGCGGGGATGCTGAACATGGATAATGATGCCGCCGCGCCTAGACTAAAAGTCAGCAATTGACGTCGACCACGCTGATGATGGCACAAAGAGAAAGAGTGGGAGCCCGAGGGTGAAGGGGGAAGAGAAGTTGCTAACCTGCCCACCATGCGCACCCGAGGACGCCAGTAGCAGTGGCAATGGTGTTGGCCATTCCGAGTTGCGACATGTTGGTTTCGGTGGTCTTTTCTTGGGTAGTAGTTGTTGGTGTGGTAGGGATGACGACAGTGACTGTGTTGCGACGGCAATACCTGAGATCGGGTCGGCACGAATGAGGCAATGTCGAATTTCGTCTGTAGCGTCTCTCTCTCTATGATTCTATTGTATGATGAGATACATTTAACTTTTTGGCGTCATCTGTTCTAATATATACCGGAGAAGGAGCCCGGGAAACATCGGCGGTGCTAGCCCCGATGAGATCGGAGGAATCACGGACGACACAAATTGTCCGAAGCTGTGTTCTCCACCCCGAGTCTCGCGTGTCCGATGCCGTCCTCGTTGCGACCTCCGCGCCGTACTGGCTGGCCCCATCATTACGGCGCTCTCAATTCCATTCGAGAGCTAGAAAACCCGGGCATGCCCCATGTTGAGGTGGTGCCGAGCCTCCCCAAAAAAATCTCTTGGCCAACTTAAATAAGGTAGACCAACAAGGTTTTGCGACAACGCAGCCATCTGGAGCTGAACGCCGCAAAGAGCCCAGGGATGGGTGGGCGGTTTAATCGAACGACGCATGGTCAGTGGTGAGTTTCCTTGCTCTCCCACATTTTCCTCTTTCATCTTCAGTGTTCCGTTCCGATTATCGTATTGCGGTTGGGGTTTTTCCTATTTCGGCGCCTCGATGCCATAGCCGACAAGCGTCGTCGTCTCCTGCGTCTTTTCATCACGTTCCGTCCAGACCTTGAGCTTTTGGAAGCCCGTCTTGTCCAAGACTTTCTGGCTGGGCAAGTTGTCCAGCTCCGTCACGGCGGTGAGAATCTCCCCCACCGCCACCACGGCCGCCCCGTTCACCTCGGACTCGGACTCGGACCCGGGCTGCTCCTGGGACGGCCGGGTCTCCTCCCCGACGACGCTCCTCTCAACCCGGAGCGCAGGCGCAGCGGAGCGGGGCAGGGACCACCACGCGCCGACGAAGCCCCGCAGGAACTCGGTGGCGTACCCTTTGCCCCAGGCCTCTTTGCAGAAGAGGTATCCGATCTCGGGCCAGCCCAGCTCGCCGCCGGGCAGGCCGGGACTGCTGGGGCCGATGCGCTTGACGCCGCCGAGGCCGACGAATTCACCCGTCGAGCGGAGGCAGATGGTGAAGTTGTAGTTGTGCGCGTCGTTGGGCGGGAGGTTGTGGTCCAGCCAGGCCTGCGTCTCGTCGAGGTCCGCGTCGGGGCGGCCGGCGACGGCCCACCTCATGACCTCGGGCTGGGAGCGCATAGCGTGCAGGGCGGGCAGGTCGTCTTGGCTGACGGGCTTGAGGATGAGACGCTCGGTGAGGACGGGCTTGCGCGTGGCGAGAAGGGGGAGGGGGAGGGTTGGGAGGGTGGTATTCACCGTGATGAAGTCTAGGTGTTCATTATCCATTTCGGGCATGTTTTCTTTTTGTTTCCCTTGTTTCCTTTCGTTGAATGTTTCTTCAATCTTTGGTACCGGGCTTAACAAAGAGCCAAGTTTGTACGTGTTTTGTTATCTCTTTGCATGATTTTATTTTCTATTTCTTCGTCTGTAACATTTTCACGGAGAATTTCTGGGTTTGAGTCATCTCGACGGGCCCTCAGTTGGGTGACTGTTCATGCTGAGAGTGAGGGACCCCCAGAGTATAGTACGCAAGCGCGCTATTACTCTTTCAGCATTGCCGTTTTGGCTTACGAATATCTCTGATCGAAAGTACGACTAAATACGACGAGGCCTGACCGGGAGACGGAGAGTTCCGCCAATTTTATCAGGCTCGCACTCGGCGGTCTTCCGAGCGCCGCGCCGCGCCGATTTTGACGGTCCAGGTCTTTGTTCGTCTCCTGAATAGACTTGGCGCTCCCATCGGGCAGAATGCAAGAAACCCAAAATGTAATCACGATCCGCGATATCCAGGTGGTCTGTCAAATTCTCTCCTAATCGCGGCAAGATACCGGGCGGGAAACTTTATCTTAACCAAGGTAGACAGACCTCCATCTCTAGCGAGACCGAGCAAATCACGACTACTCATGTATGTGTGATCCTACGAGTACAGACGTGCTGACATATCAGTCATTTCTACGTAAATCTACCCGTTCAAGTGGTCGGCAGCTATTAGTCTTGTTTTTTTAAGGTTTTTTCTTACGCCTGCTGCAGCGGGGTGGTAAGGTGGTTTCGGGCAACCCCTGGGAAATTTTGCATCTGAACGCAGATCGGGGGAACAGTGCAGTGGGGAACCACACAGGCTACAGCCCAAATCCTCATAGGTATATTCCCCCCCGGCGCTTCTACCTATCTCGTCTCACCCACAGCTCATCCTGTTTTGCTCACAGCGCAGAACGACATCTTCAAGCGAAACCCCCAGAATCCCGGAAACCGATTCGCCAAGTAGTTATTCTTATTAATTATTACCTCTCCTTTACACCTTTCCCCCGCCTTTTTAATCTGGATGAAAACCTAAACATCTACTCCGTAGACGGCGGACGAACGTCAGCCCGGGCTTAGGAGTTACAAGCACGTTGATCGCCCGTTCGCTCTTAACTTACAAGGAATGCAAGCGCGAGAGGCCTAGCGGGGAAACCCTCAAAATCGTCAACGTCAGCAAAGACCATCCACACACCTCTCACACACCCTGAGCTTCACTTGAGCTTCACTCACGTCAGGGTCGCTCACACACCCGTCACTCATTCTCACCCACACCACCTTACACTCATACTAAAAAAAAGCCCCAACTAAACAATGACACCGCCGGCATCATCGGCGACCGCAGCCCGACAACAATCCGACCAGAACACCGCCGCTCCTGGCAGCAGCGGCACCGGCAAACAACAGCTCAGCTGCGCAAACTGTCGCCATCGCAAGATCAAATGCGATAAGCTACAGCCCCGGTGCAAGCAGTGTGAGCGCTCCGACCTCGACTGCGTCTTCCCCTCCCGGAAGCGGAACCGCAAGCCGCGCCAGGGGAGGCAGAACGAGCTGCTGAATCGCATCACCCGTCTGGAGAGCATCGTCAGCAAAGTTGACTCTGGTAACGTGGATGGAGTCGTCAGGGGCGGCGGTAGCGGGACCCCAACCGGCTCGGCGGGAGGAGCGGTGCCCCCTGCGGCCTTGCTCACGGCTGCCGTCTCATCGACGCCGCATTCCATATCGGCGGCGACGGGCCGAAGGGGTCTTGGTGGCGACTCGGTCTCGGGCATGAATGACGCGGAGCCGTCGCCGCCCGGAGCGGGGTGGGACTCCCAGCCCGCCCCGCCGACCAACTACATGAGCGCCGAGTTCTGGGAGAATCTGTGCCAAGAGGTCGAGGGCATGAGACAGGCCTTGGATCAGCCCTCCGACAGCGAAGGGTCCGACGATGAGGAACCAGGAGGTCAGGGCCAGCAGGGCCAGCAGCATCAGCAGAGCACGACGAGCCCCGAGTCATCCACCGCCAATAAGGGCCAGACGCCTCCCGCGCTGTCTGGGCTCATCTCCAGCTTCGTCACGGGCGGGGACGAGCCGCTGAGGCACCCGCCGCGGGATCACATCATGTACATGTGCGGCATCTTCTTCTCCAACGTCGATCCGGCGTTCAAGGTCATTCACCGGCCGACGGTCTCTGTCGAGCTGGAAGGCTTCGCGAACGCTGTGAATAAGCACATCGATGATGCGACGGAGGCCCTGTTCTTTTCTATGTACTATGGTGCCGTCACCAGCTTGACAAACGAGGCTTGTCTGAGGAACTTGGGGGAGGAGAGGAGCGTGCTCGCGCAGAGGTACCGGGAGGGCGTTGAGCGGGCGCTTCACAAGGCGGATTATCTCAACAGCACTGAGATTCGGACCCTTCAAGCGCTGACTTACTACGTGGTAAGTCTCTTCAGTCACGTTCATATCAAATCCGGTTCAAGATCTAACCATCTCACAGTGCTTCCTCCGCTCACACAACGCCAGCCGTGCCTCATGGGCCCTCATCCCCCTCGTCGTCCGCCTCGCCCAGGCCCTGCACCTTCACCGCGACGGCGTCAACCCCCCTCTCCCGCCCTTCGAGGCCGAGATGCGCCGCCGGCTGTGGTGGATGATTGTCGTCCTCGACATCCGCGCCGCCGAGGACCGCGGCACCGACGCCGCCATCCCGCGGCAGTCCTACAACACCCGCCTGCCTTTCAACCTCGACGACGACGACTTCGGCCCCGGGACGACGGATCCGCTCGAGGACAGGACGGGCCCGACCGAGATGACGTTTTGCCTGTGCACGAGCATGTCGTCGGGCATCTTTGGCAACCTGCGGCCGCGGCACCCGCAGCTTGCGCTCGACAACGACGGCACGCCGGAGCCGACGACGTCAGAGGATGAGATTATGGCGCACGCGCAGCGTCTCGAAGCGCTCTTTGGCACCGCGCCGGCCAAAACACCTGCATCGGACGGCGATGGCTCTGGTGGCGGTGGCGGCGGCGGCGACGACGAAGACCAGGACACCCGGCACCTACCCGCCAACCACGCCGCCGTGACGGTGCGCATCATCATCCTCAAAATGTGGTTATCTGCACAATATCCCTTTACACCGCGCGCCTCCACGGCGACGGCGAAGCCCCGCGTCGCGCGGGAGACGATGCTCCGCACGGCGGTGAACACGATCGAGCTGGTCGAGTATAGCTCCGCGACCTACCGCGAGCGGTTCGGGTGGTGGATCGACAGCTACGTGCAGTGGCACCCGCTCGCCGTCGCGCTGGCGGAGCTGTGCGTGCAGACGCGCGGGGAGCTGGTGGAGAGGGCGTGGCGCGTGGTGGATCGGAACTTCCACGGGATGAGGGAGCGGATCGCGGATACGAGGCGGGGCACGCTGTGGAGGCCGCTGAAGAAGCTTTTGAGACGGGCGAGGGCTGCGAGAGCGGAGGCTATGATGGGGGCGTTGAAGTTGGGTGATGGTGGGAGGGGGGCGCCTGTGGCTGCTGCGGCGGCGGCGGCGACGGAACAGAAGGGGGCTGCGAGGAGGACGGTGGAGGTGCCGCAGCATGAGGAAGAGGAGGAGGAGGATGATGATGACGATGAGGATGGTGATGATGATGGCTATGGAGACGTGGATGCCATGGGTGTTCAGGAGCCATCAGTTGCTGCCGCGGCGGCGGTGGGAGGCCACGGTGTGAGTATGGGAACATTACACCCAGCTTTCAGGACAGACCGTTTCGGCGGTAACAACGCTGCCGCTGCTGCTTGGCAAGGAGGCGGCTCCATACTGCCTCCCACGAGTATGCCTTTCGCGGCGACAAACACAGTCGGTTTGGGTGGTCCCACGCCGATGGCGGTTGACCCGTCGATAGCGGCGGCGGCCGGGATGCCCGCGACATCACTGCCTCCGTCAACGTCGGCGCCCATGAACCCGCCGTTCGGGCTGACGCCGGAGGACATGGCCATGTTTGGAGGAACGCCGCTGTTTAGTAACCCGCAGGACCTGATTGCGCATTTCGGGATCCAGATGGATGCCGGAGACTTTGGGTGGGATCCGAGTTCGTGGGACGAGTTTGTCGTTGATGCGAATATGGAGAGGTCACCTGGGGACGACGGGTGATTTCAGTTTGAGTGTTTAAGGTAATCACAAGAGGAGGACGAGGAGGCGTATGGGATACCCAAATGAACTGACGCGCAAGTGTGGTGTATAATAAGGAAAAAGGGAAAGGAAGAAATGAAATGGTGATGCTGTACGATAGGGATGACGAATCACGCCCATCAATACTGGAGAATGGAAGAGGAATCTAGACTCTCAAATGAAATTCATTGTACTTGAGCTTGATTAAATGAGTGAATGATTCTCGACAACTTGATGACTCCTGTTCCAGACAAGCGGGCAGAGCTTCAAGATAAGGTATGTCGACTTCGAAGTAAGCATATGATGGAAGTGAACGGGGATTGTTGCCGGGCCTTCACATCATGAGAGTGATATGTCACTGGACACTAGAACGTGAACAACTAATCACCACAAAATTATAGAGGTTACGTCATGCTCAGGTGGGTTGCATGTGCTTTCACATTTGGGAGCAGCTGGGAAAGAAAAAGGCAGATGCCAAGTGAGAGCACTCTACGTTACGAACAGTTGAAGACATGCAGGCATCACATCACTGGCAATCAGAAAAACTTTGACAACCGACGCAGGGTGAGTTGGCATTTGTCTACGTAGACGAAGCCGGACGTCTTGACATCCCTCTTCTGGCCGAGCAGATCTAAAGGTAAACCGCATCGTCTCATCAAGAAGTCGTAATTCACAGCTTCGTACTCAGGTATCATTCGTCCATCTATCAAAAGGGCGGTTTGAGTAAGGTTTCCCCTCCCTCCCCTGCTGCTTTTTTTGGCCATGCTCGCGAAAAGATGATGTTTTGAATTGATTTCATTTCTTTTGGTGGCCCCCGCCTTCAGAGAGCAAATGCACGTGATAGTTCCATAGACCTAGTGAACACCTGCCAAGTAGTAGTAGCCCACCCCTCCATTTGTCGAAAACCAGAGAAACAACGCCGCACAACAGCCAACACTTTATGCGAAGGTGGTGGGACGCTTCGCGCTGAAGATCTTCTGGTTGTTGAGCTTGGAGACGCGGTGGGGGAGGGGGAAGCTGAGGCCCTTGGTGATGAGCTGCTTGATGTAAGGGCGCTTGACATCGTCGCCCTTCTCGAGCTCGACGACCTTGAGGATCTGTTGGAGACTTTGTTAGTGGGGGTTTCGGCTTTCCGGGCGAGATATTCGACGTGAGGGCACATACGTGGATGGACCTGAAGCGGGCACGGTGGCGGGCGGCCATGTCGGAGTAGAGAGCCTCGACGGCGTCGGTGCGGGACATCTCGCGGTACTCCTTGTACATGTTGTGGGTGCCGGAGCGGGAGTCGTAGCGGAGCCAGACACCGAAGTTCTTGACCTTGAGGGGGTGCTTCTCCTGGATCTGTAGCGTGCAGAGTCAGTCTCTGCCTGTGGTGCTTTGGGAGAATCGAGTTTTCGGTGACGTACCTCCTTGACGCTGACGATCTCACCGGTGGCCTTCTTGACCTTCTTCAGGCCACGCAAGAAGTACCAGTAACGGGACTTCGCAACCGTGACATTGGGAGCGAAGATGGTCATGCGGTACAACGCGGGAGTCGGGTTGGACTCGGTGGGCAAGTGGCGCCCAATGACCTCGTATTCCGAAAGACGACCTATAGCAAAATAATCAGTTATGCGTCGTCCTGGGGCCACACAATCTCTGGATTCAAGGATGCGAATAGCTGTGTCATTTCGAGCTGCTGCGAATTTTCCGGTCGGTCGGGTTCGGACGGGAGGGCAGAATCGCGTTGCGTCGTGAGGTCATGCCAGGTCTTGCGCTCATTCCCCTCTTTCCTGTTCCTCCCAAGCCAAGCCCCGACCCATTCGTCGTTTGGTAGTGTGCTGTAGCCTCGCTTGATATGCGAGCTGATGGCAGTCGGTGTTGGTGAATCCATGAAGCAGGCGTGCTATTGCTGTCGTGCCATACTGCGACATCTTCGTGATGTCTCAAGTAACCTTGAAAAAGTTTGTTCGTCGCGGTCGGGGTTCGAAAAATTCGCAGCAAGCATTCGCATCCAAGATCCAGATCCAAGCGAGGAGAGAGGAATTGTGCTTACCCATCTTGAATAATTTGTTAGAAACTGAAGATCCCCCGCGAACTTGAGTAATTGGTGACTTACTTTGAAGAGCTGGCCGATGGTCGTCGATTATCCGATATCGTGGTGGTTGCTGCTGGGTCTGAAGCCGAATGGGAAAACAAAAAAGTTGGGTAAATGCAAAAAAGGGCGAGAACCCTATGTGTCAGCGCCACACTTTCCTAAGCGACCGGACCCCACCCTGTTGCGGCTGGTGGGGGTCCACCTCAAATCGCCAGTTTTTCGAGAAGGTCTGTCAATGCATTCCTGCCTTGAATGTCAGGCGCAAAACAGTCGGTGTCCACCAGAAAGGTCAGAGGGAGGAGCTGCCTTTGGCGAATCCCAAAGTCACTGGGTTCCAACCAATCACAGCGCATACCGCCCCCGGTTGAGCAACAGCGTCACAAAGGCAACTACATTTGCTGGCTGATGTTAGACGGGGATCGTTTTCATCATAAGTCTGGCAGGCAGATTACCTTTTGAATCCATTTTAGCAGGCTTTACCTGGCTGAATTTGCGTCAAGTTCCAGCAAGAGTCTTCAGGGCCTTCGCTCTTCAGCCCTTCGGCTCTTCCACCACCTAACTCACTCACCCACCCTTCAACATCGACCAGGGCTCAAATAGACAGAATGGAGCCTCTGTTTGAAGAGTTCCGCAATGCCTACAAGACTCGGTCTGGGTACTCTCTTGCGCAGACACTTCAGCCATTCAGTCCAGTCAACAAGCCGGACAAGCTACGGTCCATCTATCTGAGCACCAATGTCCAAGAAGCCAAGAGTGACATCAAGTACATGCTCCTCGGTCGGGGCTCGGGATCTAAGAAATTCAAGCTCGATCATGAGGAGACTACGGGCTGGGTAGAAGTCTACACAGCGTACTGGAAAGCCATTGGCGAGATCCTCAAAGTAGAGGGCGACTCCGCTGCTGGAGGTAGGGTGAGCTCTCGCGCAATACGCTGCCCATCCCCTTTCTTCAGTTTCACCACTAACACCAGCAACAGTCTTCATCATGGACCAAGGTGTATGAGTCTTGGAAGGAATTCACCACCGCTCTCATCCGAGGCTACACTAATTATGGCTTCGAGGCGTGGACGATTCCGTGCCTCTACCTTGCTGGCAAGCATTTGCGACTCTTCGCCATCAGCTCAGACGAAGAGCGGAGCACCACCGATGCCACTGCTGACGCAATGGAGCTTGCTGACGACTACGATCCGGACTTGGAGAAGCAAAAGCAGCTGCGCGACTGCGAGCAGCAGCTCAAGCGTATCTTCACTCTGTGTCTGAGCGATAGGTATGTCGACAAACCCAAATGCTCTTGGCTAGTCCTAACTGTGTACAGAGCACCTCTCGAAGAATCAAGAAAGTGGGCTATTTACTACATCATCAACTTGCTCTTCAAGACCTACTTCAAACTCAATTCGGCAAGTCTGAGTCGGACAATCCTGAAGGCGTTGTCCACGAACCGTGGAGACATGCCGCCCCTGGAAGCATTCCCCAAGTCACAGCGGGTGACATTCAAGTATTACGAGGGCGTGCTCTTCTTCTTGGAGGAGAACTATGTTGAGGTACGATTACTGAGAGAAGTCCAGTTCTCAATTACGGATCTAACGAAATCCAGGCCGAAAAGCACCTCACAGAGGCATGGTCCCTGTGTCACAAGGATGCGAAGAGCAACCAAGAGTAAGTACTCTCGACACATCCCAAGTCATCATCCTCAACCACTAACAACCATCACAGGAGAATTCTCACCTATCTAATCCCATGCCATCTCCTCACCACACATACCCTGCCCAGCAGCAAACTCCTTGAGCCCTACCCGCGGCTGCAAAAACTCTTTCTCCCACTGTCGCAGTGCATCCGCAAAGGCGACTTGCGCAACTTTGACCTAGCTCTACAAGAAGGCGAAGAGGAGTTCGTCCGCCGCAGAATCTACCTTACGTTGGAGCGCGGTCGCGATATTGCCCTGCGCAACCTATTACGCAAAGTCTTTGTCGCCGGTGGCTTCGAAGAGGCGAAGGAAGCCGGCACCGCTCCCGTTCGTCGGACCAGAGTCCCAGTCGCCGAGTTCACAGCTGCTATCAGCCTTGGTAGCCAGGAGACTGTTGACCCAGACGAGGTTGAGTGCCTGCTGGCAAACATGATTTACAAGGTACGTGGCAGCTTTTCTTTTGTCGTGCGTCTGGGGTTGCCTAGTAGGCAACATCATCACGGGACCAACCTTGCCTGCTCAAGGGAATCCGGTGTCGTGGCGACTGCCACAAAAGCTCGCTACTCAGGCAGAATTCCATAGTAACCCCTCATTCACAAGTACATGACTAATCATTCAATTATCTGCAGAACCTCATGAAGGGCTACATCGCCCGCGAGCGCGGCATCGTCGTCCTCTCCAAGAACGGGGCGTTCCCCGGAACAGGGGTTTAGACGGGGATGGTGGGGTGGGGACTCCGACCGCATGAGACTTTCGACCGGCCCAAAGATGACTTGAGATAATACAGCCTTGGTACCACACCATCGTGCGCACAAAAGCAGCGAGAAGATATCTGACCCAATAGGCATCGGCGGCACGGCGTCGCTGAACTTAACGGCCTCGTATAAGGTGCGAGGAAACCTAGCAGCATGCATTGGTGCGAGGAAGATGGATGCATGAGTATCTTAGTGATACCGGGCAATTAAAAAAGCAAAGTCTATCTCGACGCCATCTGTTGGGATCAATCAATAGACGCGAATCAATACATTGATACTCAGCAAATTGCTTCTATTGTTCCAATGCTTAGTTACATAATCATATTAAAAGATCGAAAACCACAAAAGAGTTCACCCCCCCGGTGCTGAACTGGGGGCTACATCTCTTGGTGCTCATGCTGGGAAATTTTCATTGTGCTCATTCCGGGATTCGAACTCGGGTAACTCGTATGCGCTGAGCCTGTCGTCGAGTAGGCTGGTTGGCGTGAAGGAGTTGGTGACCATTAACCAATTCCACCACCCACGCCACAGTTTGACCTGACCCCCCGACCTAGGAGGGCGCCTGCTGTGCTGGTGACGAGAATGGAGTTGATGGGGTCTATATGGACTTCTTTCCTGTGTGTAGTCCACTCGGGACCCGGATGGATGGGAATGATAAGTTATCAGATGAAGGTTTGGGACTGGGAAGGTAAGGTAGGCAGGTGCGATGGGAATGGACTTGGGGCTTCCCACCTCAGGCAAGCACGCTTGGCCTAGTGGCCGTCTGGAGACGATACCTACCTAATTAAGGTACTATGAGACTGGTCTTCAATGAATGAAATAAAGGAAATTCCATCCTTCGCACTTTGGAAACAACATCCACTGTTTGATGCATATGGAAAGGTTTTCCGATTTCACCGGCCATCTATCTGTCTCATACCTCCCTTATGTACGTGTGACACCACGTTGAGCTTGTAACTCACCGAAAGTCTATCACGCATGGGCGGATAGGAGTATTTACAAAATTGCAATCAAACCAGTTACCTGCGGCCACGCACCAACAGTCAAACAACGTCACTCAGTATGTAGAAAACAACTACCAGACGGAGCATCTGCCGTACCACATTTCAGAATGCAGCTCCACGCACACCTCTGGCTCACATCCATCTCCACCTCCAGTCCTCCCTTTGGAGAAAAGTACCCTCATATGGCGACTCAAGCACGACACGGGCAGGGAAGACGGAACAATGACTAACGTCTCACAAGCACACCCACCAGTACGAGCAGCCTACCAAAGTAAGCAAAGAGGGGGTCCCTGGTGGTTGACTTTAGTTTAAGTGCTTGCATCAGTAGCGTGATAAGGTAATTCAGGAGACAAAAGCCGGGGTCTGAAAGTATGTGTGCTGTGTTCTCGGAGAGGGGTGGGGTTGAGTTGGGCTGTTGTGCCGTGCGTGAATCGGCGATAGTGCTGCTAAGAGTCAGCCTCGGTGACACTACCAATATGACTCACAGCTCGAAGAGGGGCAAAGTATCCGAGAACACGGCCGCTACGCTAGGCGAGCCTGGTCGCCGCGGCGGGCGGACCAGGAACCGGGACACTCTTCGGGGGGGGGGGGGGGGGGGGGGGGGGGGGTGGAAAGGGGGGGGGGTGTGCCCCCGGGGGGGGGGGGGGGAGCGGGCGCGGGGGGCGCGCGGGGGCGGGGGGGGGGGGGGGGGGGGGGGGGGGGGGGGGGGCGGGGGGGGGGGGGGGGGGGGGGGGGGGGGGGGGGCGATGGATGGGGTTGACATAGGCAGGGATAGTTCGCCCCGGATCGGGGCCTGTGAATTCGGGTGCCTTGGGCATTCACGAGTATTCACGGAGGACTTTTGCTCATGGTCGAAAACTTCGGTAGGTCGTGTTGGTTGTGTCAGAAGATGGCCATCAAATCACTCGTTGGATTTTGTGAATATCGCAACGACGGGATATCTTCATTTCCATCGGAAAAAAGGCTCGAGGTTCACAGCATCAACTCCTGTAGATTTGCAGAAACTAGAAAGCGAGTGTGAAGAATGATAATTTTACAGTTAATGATGTCGATCTCTTTCGCAGAAGACGCAATCTGTCCCGAATTTCTTTCGTCTCTCATCTCGTTCTTTTCGCTCTGTCACACCCAGAGCATCCGGGTCTCGTATTTCTCAGTCGCCTCTATGCAGAAGGCGAACAAGAGACAGGTTTTCCTGCCTCGAAAGAAACCGTCTCTCGAGCTTGTCCGCCTCTCATGGGGTTCTCGTCTCGCCAAAAGTAAGAGATAAATGTACAAGGGTTTCTCGTGAGAAGTCAAGAATTCGAGCAAGAGATGCCAGGAAAATTTGCAGAAATAATACAAAATGTTGTACCCAAACGCCGTGACCATCCCTATCCAGTGGGATGGGTTTTCAAACGCCCTGATGTTTATGGTATTTTGCGGGTTTTGCGAGTCCAGCAGGCTTCAAATCACCCGTTTCAGCGACAACCAACGGTGAAACAAAGTAAAAAGTAGACGAGAAAAGAAATGGAAGGCAAGATTGCGTGAGAACGTAAAGTCATTAGTTATGATGAGCCGGGTATTCATTCGTCCTTGGCTGAGGTGAGAAGATTCAAGGTGTAGGAAATGGGAAAAGAGTGAGGTTGTGCCCCTTAAAAACGGCCACCACGGGGTGTGCGAGGAGAGTTTCTAAATATCGATTAGCAACGGATTCGTGATTTGTCACTTCACTTTCGAGGGCCTACTTACACGGTCGAGATGTCGTCGACGTGGTTGCAAAGCGCGACAAAGAGGTCAAAGAAGAGCGGGGTGCCGCCGTTGTACATCTCCAGCTGCATCGTGCCGCTCCGCTTAAAGGTGCTTCGGCTGCGGATGATGAGGGCGAGGTAGTGCGCCCGCAGCTTCGAGTCGCTGTCGGGAGTGTTGGCATAGGCGTACCGAGCCGACGCCAGGATGGTGCTGCACTGGATGCCGGATTCTTCAAGGCCATCTGTTAGCAGAGTGTTGCATAGTAATGGAGGTAGAATATTACTGAGAAATGAACTTACGAAGACCCTGCTTCCTCAGCGAAACCCTCTTGAGCTCCTCGAGACCGTACTTCTCCGCAGCGCAGTAAATCACCGTGTCCTTGAGCAAATCGCCGTCGACGCCGTGGTGGTATACGGTCGACTCGACGCCGCCGCGGCCGTTTTCTCCGTTGCTGCTGAGGGCCTCAATCTCCCACGAGTTACGGCGCTTGTTGTGCACCAAGCGCGGGTAGTAGTCGCCCTTGTAGAGGTACTCCAGCACGGACGAGAAGATCTCGGGCTCCTCGTCGGGGAGGGCGATGCGCTTGGTCGGGGCGGACGAGGAGGAGGCTACGGAGGCCGGGGAGCCGACGACGTCGGCGGGGCTGCCGTATAGGTTGGCGCGGAGGGCGTTTTGGAAAAAGGGCGATGCGCAGAGGACATCTTCGTGGGCGGCGAAGAGGCGCTGTTCTGTGCCGACGACGAGGGTTACGATTGCGGAGGTGAGGTTGCTGGTTTTAGGGAGGGTTCTGTTAGTGTCTGGTTCACGTTTCTCTCAAGCGACATGCATGGGTTTCGATGGAGAATGCAGAGTAAATGAATGTGTAGAAGACTCACTTGCTCATGGAAGTATCCTCGGTAGCAGTGCTCGTGGTCGTAGTGGCAGTTAATGGCCTTCGGCTGTGGCGGGATTCATGGCGATGTTTCGAAACGCCGCTGGATTTGCTGAATGATGAGCTGGATTTAGATGCCTTGTGGCTTTTTGAGAAGCTCTTGTTCACAGTCTGTGATGGTTCGTAGCGTCTGCTGAACATTTTGGCTGATGGTTTCCAGAATGGCTGAGATGGTGTTTACCGAGTAAAAGAAAACGGAATTCGAACCGAAGATATCACAGCTCGGATGCCTAAGGAACGTCGTCGGAGAGAAAATTTCAAGTGATGGAAAGAGTAGGTGATGGATGGAATAATTGATTATCGATGACTATGGGATGGACCGAAAGATTGATTCTCATGGGAAAATGTGTTTGACCTACCTAAGGCGCCGTTTCCGAGATGCGTGAATACAGAAGAGAGAGCGAACTCGAGAGAAAGTCATGGTGGATGGGCGATGGGATTCTAATATATACAGCCTGATATCCTGGCACGGTCCCCCAAGATCCCTCCCCTACTTGAAGTACGTTGCAGTGATTGCCTTGCACCGGCTGCTTTTGAACAGGATGGCACCGAGACTCTGTGCCTGGGGGAGAGGGGGGCGGACTGATAAAAAAAAAGTGGTGAGAACGTCCTCATTGGACGCGTCGGGGGGATCAAGGGGAACGCGTCGGTGGGTCTGAGGGACACACGCCTCGGATGCGATATCACGTGCACGCCAGCAGGGTACTTCGCTGATGGGAAAGTGGGTGGTGCGCCGGGGTTTTGCTTGGCTGCCTCTGTGGTGGCACTGTTGGGAAAGTTGGCGGACACTGGCAGGCACTGGATACCAGGCCGAACCCGGTTCTAAAACCGCGCCATGTCCAAGCCATCCGCAGGGGGAACAACTTAAGCAGCCAGTGCCAAAAAAAAAAAAGGAGAGTGTGTGTGCAAGCTTGCGTTGGCTTTGGTGCATTTGGTTCGGTGCCACTGTGCTCAAGTCAAGGGGGCTAGATGATTCCCTCGCTCCTGTCGACAGGTCACTCCGCGGTGACTCAATGGCCCAAAGAGTACCTCTGTCCGGGAGTTTGCGGGCTGCCGAGCACACATCTGTGGTGCGCCGACGATTCACACTTCACACGAAAGCTGCCTAGGTGCCTGGAACAGTGGGAAACAGCCTGAAATGATCCACGTTGAGACGGCGTGGCCGCGTCCAAGCTTCTGTACCCATCACTTGGCCAGAATAAGAAATGTTAGGGGCAGACAATTCATCTGGATTCATTGCCGTCGCACAGGGGGCGAATACTCTCAGTCAAGTTCTAGGAATAGTTGAGGGGCCAAAGGAATTCTCTGATGATACGAAGTATCAATTTGGAGACGATTTGAGCTCACAGGGATCCAACGTATTGTTCTGTTCTATCTCGAAAGCCCGATGCTCAGAGAGAGGCTTTCGGGATGGCGTAAATGATGTTGGACCGCAAGGGATGGTACCATGGACCAGGCTCGGTTTCCTGCGAAGAGAGGCAAGGCAATTTAACCCCTGAACATCAATCGCCTCTATAAACCTTGCACCGGTTTGCCGGGGCCCGGGGAGCGGTTCCTAGCTTCCCAATCCGAAATCCAAACTGAACTCGAACGCCGAGGGTTCCCTCGGCAGTGCCATGTACTCATTCAATTCGCCAATCAGGTTTGCCCACTTCAGGATGACCAACGTTTACAGCTCTGAAGTGTCATCGTGGCAGCTTCGTGCGAACTCACTGCTTAGCTATCCGTAGACAGACCTCACTTGATGTCATTATTAGTGTCCATCAGATTTTAGCAACAACCTGCTCAATGCAGTCGACGACGGCTCTGCGTCCCTCTAGCCTGATGACGGCATCGTTGTGGAAGGCGCCCTGCACCGTCTTCTTCTCTACCTCGAGCCCGACCTCCTCGCAGCGCCGGACCAGCTTCGCGCCAAGCTCGGCCGGCACTAGCTCGTCTCTGCCAGCTTCCACGATCGTAATGCGAGGCCTCTCATAGATCCTCGACCCGGACCAGTTCCCGGCGATCGTGGCTAGGTTCGTCCAGCTGTCTAGGTGATTCCGGAGAAACGGCCAGAGATGACGGTACGGCACCCATTTCTGGGGATACAGTGTCGCTAGCATGTCCTTGACGGACGTGAAAGGTGTCTCGAGGATGAGCGACCGTAGCCGCAACGTGGGCGGGAACGCCTCCCACGCGGCGAGGTTCGTGGCGACCCCAGCGCCGATGCTCTGACCCCAGAGTATCACCTCCGGCGTGGGCTGGTGCCCGTGGACGTCGTGCTCGCTGTGCACCCGCCCAATCCAGTGCAGAGCCGCCCGCGCATCCAGGTTGATGCCCTTCTCGGAGGGACGACCCCTCGACGTCCAGTACCCGCGGTAGCTTAAACACACAAATATGTATCGCGCGGGCCGTTTGCTCTGCTGCAGCGACTGTAGGACCCACGATAGGTCGGGCAACCGTGGGGGAATGGACGAGGCGTTTCCTATTTTTCCCCAATGCATGAGCCTTTGATCGTTTGGAGAGGCAAAAGGGGAAAAGCTATGCGCCAGCCAGGGTATTGGAACGGGGACGAGGCGGACCCTGAAAGTAGAGGATGTAGATGGACGGCACCGATAGAGTATCGTCGAGCGACGTGGTCTTCCTCCCACCAGTCGATGTCGCCGAGGCCACGCAGAGGGCTAGATCCGTCCCATCGGCGGCTCGGATCCTCTTCTCCTCCCACTGTACGCCCCAGCACTGCTTCGCGTAGTCTTGGATGCGCTCTCTGCGTGCATTGGGTGGCAGGCCTGGCATGTAAATGATCTTGTTCTGGAAGATGATCATTGCGAGACACTTTTGCGTCCACAGAGTGAGCAGAAGGCCGGTGAAGACGAGCGGTGGTAGATAGAGCGCCTCAGCTCTGAAGTGCCGCTTGTGAGTGAGGCCAATGTGCGGCGTCACAAGTAGTTTCGGCATCGACTGCCGCTGAGACGTGGCTCGCCATGGTGGCGTGACGGGAAGTGCTTGCAGACGGCGATGGCCATGTAGAAGCTGCCTAATGGAGGATGCGCGGATAGCATGCATCACGGTTGCTCGCGAGACATGGAGGCGCGTATCAGGCGCGAGTGGGTGATGTGGTGTTGGGTTGAAGGTTACGGAACTAGACCCTGAGATGCGGATTACCTCAAACAGAAGCGTTACGTACCCTGAAAAGAGGGGCGGTTCCTGGCGGCGGCGGCTGCTGCTGCTGCTGCTTGCGCAAAAATCAAAGATGGAGAACGTTGGTTGGAAATAGGTATCGCGGACTACTGTATAGAGTGACGGACCATGACATGGTGCGCATGTGGTCGTGTTCGAACGCGACTGGGTTCAATATGGCCGGCATGCAGGCGGTCCTATTCCGTTCAGAAAGCTTCGGAGGCAACGTTCGAATTCGGCGTTGGCGGCAAACGAAGACGGACTTGTTAAATAAGCACCACGATTGCAGGTCGGGGTCCAAGGATTCCAGCCCAATGGTCGACGATCTGCATTCATCCATCAATTGCAACGGTGATTCTTATCCGTCTCGAGGGCTCTTTGGGTCTCGTACCATACTAGGTATACCTAGGCACTCAAAGAGGAATGGACCATGGGCAGGGTTCCGCCATTGACACAATCTGGTGTGTAGATGGAAATGGAAGATGTGGTAGAGACATTGCTCTGTCTGAGACAAGGCCGCTCTGTGACACGGGCAGGCCAGACAAATCTCAGCTTGACAGCCAAACAGCCTGCAACAATGGCTTTCTAGAGGCGAGTGTCGACCCATGTGGTAAGGTAGTCATTAAGCTGCTCTATCTGCTGCTTCACTATCCGGTCGCTTCAAGAGCATCATCATCATCTCATTCCACGGCATGATTCTCGCCCTCTCGGTCCATTCAGCTTGGTACGGAGTACATTGCCTACAGTGACAGACCCAGTGCCCCCGCCTCCACTGCTACGGGTAAGGTAGGTAATACTTTCTAGCAACATTGAGACGTCATAAGGTACTCTAGAGCCAAACGGCCCTCGATGGATTGCTGGAACCAGCCTGCCAATCCTGCACTCGTGAATAAGGTCAGGTATCCAGCAGCGGGACGAATGGAAAAGACAGGAGAGGGGATGGACCGTGAGGTACCTTACGTAGTGTAAAGTAGACGACAGGCCCAGCCATCTCGTCACTTCTCAACTTCAGAGAGCTTACCTCATGGCAGGTGTTCCCAAACCCCCAGGGGCAGGGTATGTGCTGTGCTGTTCCCCTCCCCCGCCCAGAACCGGCACCAATACGGGCACCAGGCGGTCGGGGAAGGCACCTTATCCACATGTGCGGTGTGTGTGTGTGTGTGAGAGAGAGTATGAGAGCAAGCGGGCGTAACTAATAAATAAAGAATCAGCCGCCCTCGAAATTAGACGTTGCCTTGATTTACGCCGCAAAATCGCACATCCCTTCCTCCCCATACCACACTACCTTATAACTTGGCATGTGCAACACTGGATCTTGATTACCTATCGGTCCATCAGTGAACAACCCCTCTATTTCTGTCCTGGTGCCCGTTTCCTCCCTCCAGGTCCTCCAAACCATCCCACTTTCTTGATCAGATCTTCCCACCCCGCCCCGCCGAGAATTCACCGCCGACTTCAACAACCGCCTTTTTTCCTCGTTTGCTCATTCCCACCCCGCCACTCTTGAAATCTCCAACATCACTTGGACGGAGCCACGACCGAGCCAAGAAACCTTGTCTTCTTACAGCAACCACCGCGACAGCCCCGAACCGATATCGAATCTCGCCCACCATGCCCGGCTCTGTAGATCCCACCACCCCGACAGAACCCTCGTCGCCGAGGCACTCCCCGCGCATCGAGCTCCCAGAAGAAGACGCCAGCGCCTCCCCGCGGACAGACGGCCAGACCAGCCCAGGCCTCAGGAACAGCAAAGGATGGGACGGCAAGCTCAGGGTTCAGCGTACCGCCGTCCTCGCCAACCCAGAGGTCCTCTCCGATCCGGAATCCGATGACGAGAACGTCCTTCCGGGCGAAGAACTACCCGCTGACGAAGGCAAGTCTTCTTTACCTGGCGCGCTCTTCCTGCGCTGGGCTACAAGCGCGAGGCGAGGCGTGTTGCATGGAAAACTAACACGCCCAACCCCATCCCACAGATCTACTCGACGGCGAAGACCCAGAAACAGACGAACTCATCGTCTCTCACGCCCGCGTCTCCTCCATACCCGCCCTCCGCCTCGAACGCTTCCAAAAGGTGGTCCGCCTCTGCCTCCGCCAGAACTCGATCCAGTCCATCGACGGCCTCGCCGCCCTCGCGCCCACCCTCGAGGACCTTGACTTTTACGACAACCTCATCTCCCACATCCGCGGCCTCGACGACCTCGTCAACCTCACCTCCCTCGACCTCAGCTTCAACAAGATCAAGCACATCAAGCGCGTCAACCACCTGACCAAGCTCAAGGAGCTCTTCCTCGTCGCCAACAAGATCTCCACAATCGAAAACCTCGAAGGGCTCGACGACCTCACCTCGCTCGAGCTCGGCTCCAACCGCATCCGCGTCCTTCAGAACCTCGACTCCCTGAAGAAACTCGAGGAGCTCTGGGTCGCCAAGAACAAAATCACCGAGCTCACGGGGCTAGGCGGACTCTCTAACCTGCGCCTCCTCAGCATCCAGTCCAACCGCATTCGCGACCTGGCGCCCTTGGCTGAGGTGCCCGGCCTTGAGGAACTCTATATCTCTCACAACGCCCTCACATCCCTCGCCGGTATCGAAAAGAGCGAGAAGCTGCGCGTACTCGACATCTCCAACAACGCCGTTGCGAGCGTTAAGGGCCTCGCGCCACTCAAGAACCTCGAGGAGCTCTGGGCCAGCTATAATCAGATTGGCGACTTCAACGAGGTCGAGAAGGAGCTCAAGGACAAGGAACACCTCACGACGGTCTACTTTGAGGGCAACCCGCTACAGCTTAGAGGACCCGCGGTGTATCGCAACAAAGTCCGTCTGGCGTTGCCCCAACTATCCCAGATCGACGCAAGTGAGTACATCAGAAGAAAAACCCCATTACTGTGAAAGATTACTTGCTGACAAATCGTTCCAGCCTTTGTCAAAACATCATGATTTTCAGGCACAGCGTTCTAGCATGAGACTTACGAGGCTGGCGTGGCGTTACAAAGGCGTTTGATTAGAAGATCTGGGTGCGAGGGCAGACATCGAGGGACATATAAGGGCCTTTCTTCACCACACGAGGTATTTCTCGGCACACACATGCACGGTCACACATACTCAGCTACGCTGTTTGGCGAGCATGAGTACATGTTGACAGGTATGATGCATTCTTCAATGGGCGGGCGGCTTTTTCTGACTTTGGGCGTGTAAACGCTGCATGTCACGGGCGAGCGGGATTTCCAACCTGGCTTGGTCATGGCTTTCGTTGTATTTTAGCGGCAGATCATAGTCTTGCCGGGGGAGAGGGTATCTAGATACAATCGACGTACGTCGTACGTGGTTTGACACATGTCGGACAGATTTCCCACGCACACCGCCAGTTGCAGGCTACCAAAAGGCCGCTCTCTGAGGAGTGGTATGGGTAGTTATGAAGTGCGATAAATCAGGCAAAATGGATAGGATGTAAAATTCAATCCACTTAACCAAAGATCCAAAGCTTCTCAGTGGGGAAGTACTATCATGTCTTGTTAGCTGACAATCATAATGAGAGGGTCAACAGATGAGGGTAAACTCACGTTTGCGGGCTGGTTGAAGCGAGTCTTCCTGTCAAGGGAGCTGATCTTGTCGATCTCAGACTGCTCGAGGTCGAAGTCGGTGACAGACAGGTTCTGGGCAAGGACGTGCTTGCGGCTGGTCTTGGGGATGACAGCAAGACCACGCTGGGTAGCCCAGCGGAGAAGGACCTGGGAAGGCTCCTTGTTGTGCTTCTTGGCAATGGCCGTGACGGTTGGCTCCTCAAAGAGAGGGACAAAGTCGGTAGCGTGCTCCATGTTGAACTCCTTGAAGGAAGCAGGGCCGAAGGAAGAGTAGGCGGTGACGGCGATGCCCTCGTTGGCAGCCAGCTTGATCAGGTCAGGCTGGACCAGGTAGGGGTGGTGCTCGATCTGCAGGGTAGCAGGAGGGATCTTGGCGTAGCGGAGGAGGTCGTAGAGGAGCTGGCCCTGGAAGTTGGAGACACCGATGCTCTTGGAGAGCTTGTTCTCAACGAGGCTCTCCATGGCAGTCCAGGTCTCCTGGATGGAGGCCTTGGAGGGGCGGATCTCGGACTTGCCATCGTAGTGCCAGCCGGGAGGGTATCTGACGGAGGGGTCGACGTACTCGAGGGCGACGGGGAAGTGGATGAGGTAGAGGTCGAAGTAGTCGACGCCCCAGTCGGCGAGCTGCTTCTTGACGATGGGCTCTACGCGCTCGCCATCGTGGAAGGTGTTCCAGAGCTTGGAGACGATGAAGAGCTCCTCACGCTTGACGAGACCCTCCTTGATGGCGCGGGCAACACCCTGGCCACACTCAACTTCATTGCCGTAATCTGGACAATTGACAACGTTAGTTACGTGTTAACCCCATAGCACAGTTGAACGTCATGGCGAATCAAAGTGTGTATGATTTGAGTTGTCCATGTGTGATGGATTCGGGGAATGCGGGAGCGTAGCCCCGAGTGTAAGTGGATGGCATTGGTGAGGGTAGTGAGGGGGGAGTGACAAGTGACAGGGCAGGTCGGGGGGAGGGGTGCGAATCCCGGGTGAAGTGCAGGGGTGGCTGCGGAGAGCTTTCCGGGTGAAGTTGTAGCGCATGGGGAAAATCCCCATCGGTGCTCTGCAGAAATTCGCACCGATGATCCATGGTGGGGTTTAGGAGGGGTAATAGTTGGCTTCTCAGGAAGAAATTATGGAGGGGGGAGAAAGGCAGCAGACCACCAACACCAGCATCAATGGCAGCGCGCAACGCGTTTTTCTGCAAGAGAAACCTGTCCAATTGCTTCCTGGTTGCCACGCAGTTGCCGCCTGTCACTGAAGTTGGGTTCATTGCGCCGCAGAATGCTTCCTCCTGCTCTCGCTCGCACCACACCATTGACAGTGTATGCTCGTGCTTGTGGGCTGTTCACTTACCGCAGGCGCCGTCAAACAGACGGTATCCGGCCTTGATGGCCTCGTAGACGGTGTCGGCGGCAATGTCGTTGTCAACCTTCCACAGACCGAAGCCCACCTGGGGCATGTCAAAGCCGCTGTTCAGCTTGATGTTGGGGACGGCCATGATGAATGGTAGCTGTCGTTGTTCTGGGAAGTAGGTTCGAGGGTATAAGATCAACGAAGCGTGGCAGAACTTGAGAGAGAGAAGAGGAGAGGGAGAGAAGGAAAACACAGACAGCACTCAGGGCCGGGAAGAGGGACGATGTACGTATTTATAACCATGGCACCAACGTCAGGTGCTCTGATACGCGGTTGCCAGGCAATGTAGAGTATTCGTCTGGCCCGGAAGGCAAGCTTGCTGCGTCCTAGGGCAAGTAGACCAATTGCAACTTCCTGGCTTTCCCATTGCCCGCGTCGATAACCTCCACCTGTCCCCGGCCGGCTGCATGCTTCCAGACACCCCATGGTGCCGTCACCATACATATTTGCGGCGATATCTAGGGCTCAAGAGGCTGGCGGGGTGAAAAGGGACCGATAGGATAAAAAGTGACACACAGATCGCCTTCCCCAAAACCAACCAAACCAGCCAGGGGGTCCCCGCCGGAGGATAGAAAGCTAGCTGGTCGTTCCGAGCCCGTGACACGTCGACATTGGACGATGTGAAATATCCATAAGTGTAGTGGCCGGGTAATGTTACGGGCAGGAAGAGGCACCTCAGACGGAGAGGCACGCGTGGATAAGCCGGCCGGGCTTCATGTGGAGATGGGGGGGTGGGTGGTTGCTGGCTCACTGCTACAGAATGACACGCGCCCATTTGTGCGTTTAAATCAGCCTGTGAGGACTTGAGCTACGGTCGACCCAGGAGACTTCCATTGGGGTAAATTGGAGTTCAAGCTTCCCGCTGCTGGCTGTCAAGGTCAGGGTCCCAGTTTGCAAAGTTTCGCGGGATGGAAGCCAATATGCATGGGAATTGTGATTTTGGCAGCCCTTCCTTTGGGTTGGTTGGTCCCAGGGCGGCTTTCCTGCCCTGCCACTGGTTCCCTTTGACTCTACCTACTAAGAATCCGCGGCCAGCTGACGCTGTGCCTCCCTGTCACTCATGTTGGTACAGGAATGCCGTATTGTGACAGATTTCCCACAAGTGTCACTGCCCCCTCAGGTGTGCCTGTACTCTGAACGAAAGGAGTTGCTTATTCTTCTCCTCGGTTACCGTTTTCTCTTTCCATCGCAAGCGTAAGTATCCGCCTGTTCCTGGCCTGGACCTTCTCAACGAGCATCGCTCTTTACCTACCTCAAGGGCCCGCACGAGGTGCTGTTGTGGAGAATCGATTTCGCCGAGACCCGTTTTATTTTGCATTTAGCCTGAATGCTGTTCGGCGCGGCTAATTGGTTTCTCTTCTTCCATCGTCAACGGCTTGCTGGACTTCTATCCGCAGAACTTCACCAGCAGAACTTCACCCGCTGAGCCCGGCAGAGAAAACGTCTCTGTGCTCCCGAGTTCCGATTGATCAACGCTACTGAATAGTACACAGCGCCTTGTACAAGCCGTCGTTTCCTCAATTGCTAACCACACCAATCACACATCTTCTTGGACGCCACTCAGATGCCAGATCTTTGGGTTGCACGGTGGCTGGAGTCAGATAACACTAGGTACTTTACTACCTACCTACTTCACACCAGCCTCGATCCGAATCTTCACGCGGAATGTCGCACATCCCGTCACCTCATTCAGTGCACCCTCGGCCCATTTGCCGGAGCGCCTCGTATCCACGTGGGTGGGCGCGTGGGGTCATTCCGGACCTGAGACCCTCTCTGCACCTCACTTCATCCGGGTGGATCCCACCATGAGATGAATCTGAGCCTCATCCCGCTGCTTTCTCATTGACAAAACTGCATTTGCACCCGAAGTGACCGGACTGAAAGCCTCATAATTACTTGCCCTCGGCTTCAACTGTGTTTCTCCTGAAATTTCGTTGATATTATGACGAGAATAAACCAGGACCTTTATAGTGGCCTTTGTCTCGTGGCCTCGATCGAGTGCCTGCGTTCAAATTGTTCGCTGACTTGAGAAGACTGACAAAGCGGTATTGTTCGTTCTGCTAATGAAACGCTTTTACGCCAGCGAAGACACAATTAACTCAGAGCTTTCAAATACTTTCATTCAAGTGGCAGGGCATGTAAAGGCATTGACTGCTACAAAGAATGGCGCACTCTCAAAGCCATCGCAAGTATGCGGTACCAATTGTTCTCGAAGACAACCACTGGATTACTTTGTTTCTTGCTTGCATACCAGTCCTCTATTGAACGAATTATGAAGAAACATTCGAAGGAAAACACATACATATAATATAATTGACTGTCACTGGCATTTGAATTAGAAAAAAAACAGAGACATACTCATCAAACACATCAGCATCATCACTCACACTTCCAATTTCACAACATCGAAGCAAGCGGGCAGGTACCATCGCGCAACTATATCCAATCAAGTATCATCAGCATGTCACAGAATCCTACTCATCAGGTCCAGGTAGCCATGAACAATAACGGCCCTGACCTGGCCGCGCAGCAGGCTCTGAATCAAGCGTGGGTAGAGAAGCAAAGGAGAATAAAGTTGGTGAACAGGATCACAGCGAGAATGGGTGCCGAGAGGGGTGAGCAATATCTGCAGTACGACATGAACGGCAACGTCCGTCCTTATCGTTACGGTTTCCCGATCCCACCCCCTTCCGACCCAAGGATCCATGGACCCAGTGTGAGGTACGCTTCCCGTTACTTCGACTCGACCCATCTAGATGAGGCCCAAGCCAAGTACGGGGGTCAAAAGCATCCCAAGGGTTACAATATCCGTCTAAAACGTATTTTGGGAGCAGGGGGCTACGGATTCGCAGCTCACATCGTACACAAGGACCCCAGAACGGGCTTCAATACTGACTGCGTGATCAAGATTGAAAAGTCTCGTCACCACAACAAGTCGGCGCTGAAACGAGAGGAGAAGGCTCTCTGGGTGAGTACTCCGCCGCTCTGGATCGTGTAGTCTTTTGAGTATCTTCCTGACGTGTTATAGAAATTCGTAGGCGCACAACATATCCTGCAGATATCGGACATCACTCGAGAAATCCAAGCAAAAAGGGCTGCTGACTTGACTGCGCACCAGAATAGCCACCCCCCTCCCCCAGCTGGGGCCAAGTTGCCCGACCCAGAGATCCAAGACAAGAATTGGACTCTCAGGGACTTTGAGAAACAACCCATTCGCAACTTTGTCATTCTCGAGAACGCCAATCTCGGTGACCTAGGCTTGTGGATCAGCAAGTCTAGCCGTCTTGGAAAGCGTTGGCCTCAGAGAGCCATCTGGATGCTCTTCCAAAGTCGTAAGTCTATGAAATATCCTGCCTGATGACCTTTAGATAGTGTTACTGATTTCGCCTTGACAGTCGCCCTCGGTCTGGTTGGTATGGGTTACCCTCTGAGGGAACATTACGAAGCTTCGCACCCAGATTGGGAGTATCAGAAGCCAATTGACGAGGAATTCCCCGATGACCCAAAAGTCGAACTCCAGGAAACCGTACACTTCGATCTTGACCCCAGAAATGGTAAGTCTATTGAGAACTCTGACTTTCGGGAACAAGGTACTAACTTGCCCAGTTCTTTTGGCGAATAGATCCATGTTTCACGGCAACTTCCCGGCCTTCAAGGTATATATAACCTCTCACTCATTTTCAAGAAGGTCGTACTAACAGTTTTCAGATTGCCGACTTCGGATTGACCGAGTTTTTCAGCGAGTATGAGAATGACCCCGAACACTTCAAGTAAGTTAATGCTCAAAGGACTGCTATGAGCTTTACGTAACTAACTTTTCTTCTTCTACCAACAGTAAGGAGTTTTTCTTGCACTGTCGTTGCAGAGGAAAGCCCGTTTACTACGCACCCGTAAGTCACCGGTCACGTTGCGTGAATTACAATCGCTTCTACTAATATACACTGTCTAGGAACAATTTACCAGAGAGTGGGAGCAGGTGAATGACATCATCGACGACGATGGCATCAACCACTTTGTGGCTGACGATGGAACGAAGCCGCCAGTTGCTGGCAATTACGGGATGCATACAAACATCTTCCAGGTGGGCATCATTGTAAGTTGACCATTCTGACCTCCATTTTACCGTGTTATCTGAGACTAACAAGATTGAACAGATCTGGTGCGCCATTACTCTCTGCTCATTCCAACAGGCTGCCATTCGTGTCCATTACAAAGACGCTTGGGGACGAGACATCACCACCTACGGAGGCGCCCTGCAGAGTGCACAGTTCAACGACATTGATCCTGCACTCAAAGACCTGGTACAGAGATGCATGGCCCATAACCCCTCTGATCGCCCAAATCTGAGAGAGCTGGTTGCCACGATCAACAATCGTCTCGCCAGGAATGACCTGGAGTCGGAAGATGCTCTGGCCGCGTGGTCCCGGGACTTCTTCACAACCCCCCGTGTTCCCGGTGACGAACCCCCTCGGGTCAAGCGTGAACGCGAGGACGAAGGGGATGACGCGCAGGGCGATGCTGGAAGGGGCGCATCCCGGCGTGCCGTCGACGATGGCAATGGCCACCCCGTTGCACTGGAAGTTCAGAGGGTGCAAGCCAGGCAACAGGGAGTCGCTGATGAGCCGCTGCTCCTCGACGTCTTCCAGCCTCCGGTACAGCCTCAGCCTGTACAGGGAAATAATCTTCTCGGGCAATCATCTAACAACGGCCCCGTCGTCGCCCCTGGCTATCCAGCCCTATCTCCAATGCCCATGATCAGGGAGGAACCTGCAGCGGCCGCACCTGTATTCGTCGGCCTCAACAACCAGTACAACCAACCTGCCGCCGTCAACCCGCCCGGCGGCTTCGACGCGAGAGCTCAGGGGGCACCGCAGGCGCAGTGGCAACCGCAGATGCCAGTCATGCAGCAGCCCAACAATATGAACAACAACTACATGTTCAACTATGCCGCGCCGAATCCCATGGTACAAAATCCCGATTTGGGAGCTCAAGCAGGTCTAGCGGCGTACCGTCAGGCCCAGGCAATTCGGGGCGCGGGACAGATTCCGTGGAACGCGTATGCCCCGCCAGGTGAGCCCTTTCTTCATCAGCCAGTGCCAAATGTTCAACCCCCTCCGCCTGAAGCTATACAGCATCAGTTCGCGCCGCCTGATGATCCTAACCCATACGCCCAAGTCTGGCGATTCAACTCTGTCCACCAAGGGCCTGCCGACCCTGAACCATATGCTCAAGTTGGGCGACTGGGTCTCACGCGGCAAGAGCAGCAGGCGCGGCAAGAGTGGCAGCAACAGTGGCGACAGCGGCAGCAACAGCAAGAGCGACAGTGGCAGCTAGAGGAACATCAACGGCAGCAGAGACAACAGCAGAATCAGTACATGCAGGACCCTGGCCCTTCTAGGCAGCCTCAAATGCAGATGCAGGCTCTTCTCCAGGATGCTCAGCAACACGATATCGGAGGTAACGAGATGGATATCTTTGAAGAGTTTATCAATGACCCCGATGCCATGGAGCAGTGAGCTTGTGAGTCAAAGTCATTTAGCTTTGTCATTTCTCCCGCCTTTTGTAAAGAACTGTAACGGATCTAGCATAGCGAATGGCGCGTGGTTTGAATGAAGATAGAGACGGCCGGTGCCGTCTTTGGTCTATAGATAGGTACATGCATTTTTCAGAGAAGAGTCGGGATTGAACAATGGTATATAAAGAATGTTCACGAGGTGAACCGTTGGCTTGTATGTTGTTAGATTCACACTTGCTTTTGGGGCTCTTGGCTTTGCTTGAAGCAGGCGTCTGGTGTTAGATAATTTACATGAACAAGACGATAGAAATGTGTATGCTCTATTAAAAAGCAAGAGAGTTATTGCAACAAGATTACATCTCGTGTGTCCTCGGGATTATCTCATAATAAGGCTCTGTGGGTGTTTGATAGCCCGAGCCATCGCCATCACCATGAAACCATGCAGACCCTACCTTTATACTAAGCTCTATATACTTTGGCTGGTTCATAGCAACGGGTGAGAAGACAACTTGCTCGGCGATCTTCTGGCACTTCAACCACCGGCAGTCACCTCTCGGGATCTCTTATGTCTTCTCCCACTTGTCGCCTTTCTTCGCGCACTAGATACACCGATTACCTCCAGCCAGGGTGTAGCGACAGTCCAACAAAGGGAACTCATCATCGAGGGATCGGCTGGCCTTTCTGTCGTTACACCCATTCCGAATGCAATATATATGAGGGAACTGAGCAGGGAAGTCGAGGATCTCAGGACCAGGGATAAAGCGGGTTTCTGGGAGTTCTGGGTGTCATCGGCAGGGCCTCCCTCAGAGCTCGAAACAGAATCGTCGGAGTGTCGAAGAGGTTGACCTAGTTGAGCTGTCGGAAGGGGTCGCGTCGACAGGGTCACTAATCGCGATTGGCTAGCAATTCTCCTCGGTACAAATGCTCACTTAAGTTCAGCTATCCGCTTCTTTTAGTAACGTTGTGTCGTTGACGTATTCGTCAACGGATACGGGTTTCGTGAATCGAGCTGACGAATAGGGAGGTGAAAATTTAGAAATAAACGACGTGATGTCGAACGCTACCGTTATAGTCAGATGGGACAGGTATTGACAAGGCTCTCTTGCTCCCTCGGAGTACTACCGGGCGGACAGTCTTCGGCTTCGTGGGAAGAGACTACTGCCTGGCTGCGATCCTGCACTCGTATTAAATAGGTTCCAATGACCCCTCCGGAGACAATTTTTTACCGGAGCGCTCAAGACGTCGATGCACGTAGTATATAAATCGAGCTATCGGGCGACTCATTATCCCGATGCATCGAGCTGTATTATAGCAAGTCCAGCCGGGCCAGTTCTTCGATGGTCTTCGACGAGACTACACCAGCTAGTGGAATTCAGGCTTGCTGATGGAAGCTTCCTTCAAGCCAATGTGCTCAATTGTCTTCTGTACTCGTCTTATAAAAGGGAACTTGAATACCGCATTCCGTGGCCTCGCTTGGTCCGTGACGTATTCGTGATGGGCGAAGCAGCCGACGAGCAGAGGCTAAGAATAAGGTGGTGAAGAGAATGTATATGATCGTGGATGATGAATGGGATGAAAATACACACCCGCGAACAGGGACTAAGAATAAGGTGGTGAAGAGACTCTATGCGGACGTAAACGGTGGACGGATAGAAAACGCACACCCACGGGCTGCTTACACGCATAGTTTGATTAGTGAATTGTCATGCACGAATATGCCACAAACAGCTATCAGAATAACGTAGCAGAGGTCATGCTCCGGGTCAAGCTTTGGCAGCCTCTTTAGGCACAAATCCGTTGATGAACTTTATACTGAAGGTCTTTTGCTCAGTGCCTAGCCACACATCAAAGGACCGCTAGGCCAGATAACAAGGTCATGCCGGGGGGGGGGGGGGGGGGGTTGCCCCCTGGCTCAGACTTTGACAACTTATCAAGGATTCAATACTCACGAGCTCGAGCTTTACCGAAAGCTTTCCCCATAGCCAGATAAAGGTACTTACGATTTTGGTACCATGACATCTCAGGGTTCGTCTTGCGCATCAGGCTTTGGCAACATCTTCAGTTCCAACACATGGACGGGCTCAGGGTGCGTTGTAGCATCAAGGCCAGTAGGCATGAATAAGACGAAAGTATGCGCGGTCTTTATATCACGGGACGATGAAAGAGGTTTTTACACAAAAGAGATATATCTTCCAATATAGGGTATCTTTTCAAAAGTCTAGTCGTGATGCCTATGCCATCCAAAACTCCTCCTGCCATGTACACCGCACCATCTCCAAAACCCAAACGCCGAAGCCCATATAACCCTCAATGCAAAAAGTACCGACTTTTCTTATGCCTGCCAATCTCTCCTCGTCTTCTGCTGCGAAGTCAAGTCGTAGTTGGCGTATCTGCACTTACACTGCTCCCTCCCCGCCGCAATGGTGACAGCGTTGCCAGCTTTATCCTGGCACTCCGGACCCCCTTTCTTGACCTGCACGATCTCTACCTGGCCGGGCCACGGTCCCCACTTGACGTTTCCGTCAGTGCTAGTCGCGTTGACCCCAGACGCAACAGTCCCGAGCGGCGTAGTCGTGTTGCGTCTCGTCCAGAGAGTTGCGCGGAAGGCCGTATCGGAGAAAGTGCAGGTCGCAGCGCGTCCGTCTTCGGTGATTGCCTCGGACGGAACCACGGTCTTGGGAAGGGAAAAGTTGAAGACGAGACGCTCGTTGAGTGTGTTTCCTTCGAGCAGTACCATTGTCTGGTTTGTGAACTGCGGAGCGAAAGGGTTGGAGGAGGACGAGACCTGGTAGGTGTAGGAATTCTTCGGGGAGATTGTCCAGAAAAAGGATGCGAGAGAGTCGTTTGCGGATTGTGAGTAGTTTTGGTATGGGTAGCAGCGCCACGTCGATGGGTTGGCGGTGCATCCAGTGTTGGACTCTAACAGAGCCGTATTGAAGGCGAATGAGCCAGATGGAAATAGGGTGGTTGAGTTGGTGGTGGTATCTGGCGTTGTTGAAGGGGATCTTGAGAAGTGTTAGTGGTGATGTAAGTGAGTTAGAGAGGAGGGAGGTTGCATACGAGCTGCGCATTCCAACAGTCAGACCGACCGACAGACCGACAATCAGACCAATTCCAAGGATAAGGGCAACTATCATGCGGTATCTGTTGCCGCGGCGAGCGATCCAGGGCCCCGTCTTGGCCTTCTCCGCAGCCGACGATGGCCCTACAGGCGTAGTGATGGGAAGGAGCTGAGACTTGTCCTTGAGAGAATTCCTGGGAGAAAGCCTGGGTGTGGATGTGCCCGAGCTCGGACGGCTGCCATAGCTGCCTGCGCTGCGTAGGCTGCGCGTGCTCAGAGTGCTTAGAGTACTGTCGCGAGACGAGCTGCGAGAGTAGGCCGGGGGAGGATAGGACGGATGTGAGTTGATAGCTCGTGGTACTGGCGAGCGGCCGTAGTATTTCGGTTTCGTGCTGCGGCATGGCGTTGGTGGAGGGAGGGCAGCCATGTTTGGGGGTGTGACGGCGGGAAGTGAGTCGTCTTCGGCAATGACAGGCATGCGACCAACGGATGAGAATGCGGTACGGCTTGAGCCCGGCGAGAAGGGTGACTTGGGCATCTTGTCGTTGGGTCTAGATTACACAGCGGTGGTGTAGTTGGTTTCGATGTGCGACAACCTGTCTGCTGTTATACAAGACAGACAATCGACGTAAGATTACTCCCAAGTCGCTGAAATGGGGGTACAGCAACGAAATTGCTGTAATGTCGTCACTCTTGGTCTCTACTGCCTTGGCGTTGTTGGGTGCAGATGGTGTCAAATCTCCAGTATGTAAAGCGGGCGTCAAGAACGATATGAGTCGTGATTCTTGAGACAGAATGGGAGCACAAGAACTTAAGACTACCCAATTACAAGGAACCGAACTGATAGAATGTAGAGACGGATGCGGCTCACTGAACCAAGGATCTGGGATTGTTACGCAGTGATGTCGAGATCTAGAGTGCTGGTGCCCGTTTAACGATCTCAGACATGCGGCTTCATATAAGACTCCAGCATGCCGGAAAAGTCGGCTATCGAGAATATCGCGTGGCAGCAGTCCTCGTTTGTTTTTCTCTGGCTGGCGATTCAGCTAACGTCTGAGGAACAAAGAATGTCGGACGGTTTACGGGGTGATGGTCAACGACCATGAACCGAGTCCCGGCAGACAAAGAACTGGTGCGGAGAGGGGGAACAAGAGCAAAGGATGCTACGTTTGAGATTTTGTGCCTTGAAAAGCTCGAGTTAACAAGAGATGGAAACCTACCCGTTTGCCGCAGTGCAAGCCACTCCTTGGCTCCGGACGATGAACGACTTCGTCTAGATTCCCCCGAGAGGGGTCCTATCTCGTCGCATGGCACACCCTAAGGGCTGAGCACACAACATGTGGGATCAAGGTGCGTGAAGCATGGCAAACCCATGTACTTGCATTTCAGCTGGGTTCTGGCACTTGCCCGTCTGGAAGCGTTTGCAGTCCGACGTGCTGCTCTGTGATCGACAACAGGAACGGCTTCTTTCCGAGCAGGGATCGCGGGCGCGATGTCACAGGGGTTCTCGATGTGGCAGGCTTTGGCGGAACAGCCAGGCATGTCGATTTTCTCATCGACAATCCGACGCTAGGCAGTAGCGAACAAAACGGGGTGGTCGGGAAGCTGCAGACCTGCCGCCATGCTTTCACGGTTGATGGAACGGCTGCAGAGAACAATGGGGCGGAGAGGAGTCGTCGACGTCGAGAATATCCTTCAGAAGTCCAGCTCGCGGCGGCCCAGCAAATAGTCTTGACGATAGCGTCAGTCTGATCGAGCCATCATTGGTGGTTGGCACCAGACTAAGATACCGCTAACCACTTCGAGCCACAAAAGACAAGGAAACTCACAAGAAGTTGTCAGGAACCACTCGACGGCGTCAAGCCACCAAAACTTGAGCTCGGGTGCCAGATGGGGATGGGCAAACAGCGCCAGAGCACCTCTGACCAGGGCTAAACTTTGCGGGACCTTGATCTGTCAGCGTGGGGTTGAACGAGGAGGGATCTGAAAACTCTTTGGCATTCATTACCTTCAACTTCGAGCTTGGGGTCTCAGGGCGGCGGGTGTGAAGCAGTACATACGCTGAAGGCGGAACTTTTCGTCGGCGTTTAACTCTGAACAGGGTAAGAGACCAATTGGCGAATAATCTGGCCCATCTATCTGCAATACACGGTAGGTTGAAGTGAGGGGCTAGGAAATGCCGTGGGGGGCGGATGAAGAGGCTCAAAATGATAGGAACCGAAATGGAGATCTGCGTCGTGTGCAGATGTGCAGATTGCACAGTGACCAGAAACACCGTCGAATGAGGGGCTCATGTAGGAAAATCAGGTCGGTGTTAAAGACACTAATATCGAAATTTCTATGAACAGGTAATGGATACTGGTATGATGGCTCTTACTCTTGTTCAACAATGACGCAAATCAACCTTCCTCCCACATGTCCAGGTACTCCGTATATCCTATAGTCGTATCCGTACAAGGTAGTGCAGATCAACCTTCCCATCTCAAGCATCACCCAAAATCTCTTGCGTTGAAGACAGCGACGCCGTCTCCTTGCCCTTTCCCTTGGAGGAGTCGCTCTCACTCTCGGCATAGGAAGGAGGGTCTAGCTCGTCTCCGCCCGCCACCCACACCTTGGAAAGCTCCTCCTCGATTTCCTGGCGTCTTGCCTTCCAGTTCTCGACCTGTTCAAGGCGTTCACGAAGGTCCTGGAGCTCCTTTTCGACCTGCATCTTCTCATGTTCTGTTCCGATTCTTTCAAACTCCCACTCATCGCCACGTTCTCCGCCTCCGAGAATGAGGTTGTACGTGTGATACTTCTTGAGTGAGGCGCGTGTAGAAATGGTGATGAGAGATGTGTCATGTCAGAAAACCTGCAGGGCATGGAATGACTCTTCAACTTACTGATTCCTTTCTCCTTGCACACTTCGTAGAGCAGGCCCTCGACGTCTTGAGACACGGCGCTAGTACCCTCGTCAAGAATGGCGAATTGAGGCTCGTGGTACAATACGCGGGCGAAACCCATGCGCTGTTTCTCTCCACCGCTAAGAACATCTTTCCACTCTTTACGGGTGTCCCAACCACCTTCACGGTCGGGAAGGTAGCCAAGACGGGCATCTTCCAAAATGCGCTTCAAATCGTCTTCAGACTTCCTCTTCTCGCGCATATCGTGATGCCCGTCAGGGTAGATGACCTGGTCGCGCAACGTACCGATGCTGAGATAGGGACGTTGCGGCAAGAACATGATGCCATCCTGACCAATATCCTTTGGACGACTGACGAGTCCCCTGTAGACTGGCCAAAGGCCAGCAAGAATACGGGCAATAGACGTCTTACCGACACCGTTGGGGCCAGAGATCTAAGAGCGTCAGTACACTGTCATTTCCCGTCCTTAGATAACTAATGACTCACCAGAAGATGCTCTCCTCTCTTGACAACCATTGAGAGGGAATCCATTAGCTCCTCACCACCGTTGGGCCATAACGATGGGGCAACAACAGGCACGTTCTCAAACCGTACGCCATCGAAACCCTTCTGGATGGTTCCTTGAACATCCGAGAGGGAGTAAAGTTCGTTCTGTTGCCCTCGCAAGAAATAAGCATCGGCGTGAACGCGATGCAGTGTTGAAATCAAGGTGTAGACTCGGCTAGTGTAGCCGGCAAGCTCGGAGAGATCCTTGATAGAGTACATCATCCTTCCGCCAGCATCCGCGAGTGAGAGCATAAGACGCTTGTTCGTAATGAACTCCTTCATACGCCCGCGCTCCCTGCTTCCCTTTGCAGCATTTTCGGCCAGCTCAGCAGCGCCGCCCAGACCTCCCCATGCTGGAAGGAATACTGGTAATGAGGATAGAAGGTAGCCGTAAGCACTCCAACTGTACTTGAGTATGAAATCCTCAAGCATGTTGTACCGAATCTTGAGCATGTAGATGCCCTCCATCCAGTTCTTCAAAGACTTGAACTCCTTGTTGAGGAAAGTCTTCTCCATGTCGGCACCTCCGTAAAAGGCGATCTCCTCGGCATTGGCGATTAGTCGTGCATGCAGCCCCCTAAAGTCTCCCTCCTTGCGGCCCTCAACTGCCTTAAGTTTGCCAAAAGGAGGCGAGAGCCGGCGCAGAATGCTCGCTGTTAGGAAATAGTTGCTCAACAAACCCGTTAGAGCCAATGGGCCCAAAGAGCGGAATAGCTGGTAGTTAAAGACGCAAAGGTCTACAAAGGGTTTACCGAGTGATGAGTAGAGGTTCGCAGCGGCAGCACAGAATAGTGTCAAATCTTGCGTGATAAATTGATCCGCGCCCTGGCCGACGCCACCATCCAGATTGGAGAGCTTGTAGTAGTTGAGGTTGTTGTTCAGGTATAGATCGTGGATGTACCGAGTAAGGCGGGTTCTGAAGGCAATGGACACCTTGGATTCGAGGAATTTGATCATCGCATTCGTGTATGACGCAAAACCGCCGAGACCACACCACTTTGAGATTCGTTAGCATTGGTTGAGGTCGTAATGACTGGAGGTTCTGGAACACCACTCACCTTGACTAGTCCCCAGAGGAATGCCTTCCCTTGTCCTGCAACCAGATCCCGCACAATCTCGCCGTCAAGTCGAGCGACCACGAGGGAAAGGTAGGTGCGAAGCATCAAGAAAACGCTGTGACTCAAAAGCAGCCCAGCTTCTTTACTCGACCATCTCGGGATCATGATACTCATGAGACTAAGGAACTGATGTAGGAATGCCAGGTTCAAGCCCGGCTTCGTCTGCGCTGAGGGAACGGTTCCGTCGCCGAGGCCAGATACCCGCGGAGGGTTGAGGAAGAGCCGGCGATGCGCCTCAAAGGTCAGCGGCTTTGTGGTCTGAATAACAACCTTGGAGGTTCCATCCTTGTATGGGACGTAAATCGTACGTGATCCATCCTTGTTGTGCAGCCACGAATTCGTACGGACAAGTTTACGGCCCTGCTCCTTTTCCTCACGCCTTTGCCTCCACCAGCGTCTGCCTCCAGCGGCGCTGAGGACTATGGATGCGGCGAGGGCAAGTGTTCCGAGCAGTCGGGTCGTGCGGGAAGTACTTCGGAGGCGATTGCGAATCAGTGTCGTATACTTCTCGAAGAAGGCGGCGAGAGCCTCCTCCGCGGCCGACTGGCGGAGTGTTGATTGTTCTGCCATGGCAATGGCAGTAGGAAGTGAAGATTGTCTTTCAAGACTTGCGACGTCGTCGTGAGGTCGAGTCGCGCAGGCTCGCCACGGTTAAGGTGCTACTACAGATGCGCAGCCATCACAGGGCGGGAACGAATAAGAGGAGCGAGCTGAGAGGTGCTAGGCTAGATAACGCGATTGATGCTCTGTCTCGGGATCGCTATTGAACCGTTCTGGCTTTGCGCGTATGATGATAGTGAGGTGGTGAGGTAGTTTGAAATGGCTCAAGAAAAGCACGTGGTCGCATTAGCAGGCTGAGTCGTTTGTTGTTGGAGAAGCGGCGAGTTTGGGGAGCAGGCGCTGGCTCGTGATCGCATTACGACATGTGAATGCCGGCGGGCAGTGGAGTTCCGAGGCACCCAGCACCCGAA